AGCTATACTAGCCCAATCCAATTCATGATTGGTTACTTGTTCATGAGGCCCATAAACGGGCCTCTAAATTGCTTAACCCAATACCTTTGTTATGTGACCTCATATGATCCATTCTAGTGGACTTTGGACTATTTGACTAGCCCAAAGATCAATGATCATAGTCTAGCAACAGATAATGATGACCCAAAAGAACGAACTTATTATCTCCATAATAGTGATCCTTGATATATCTAGTAATTGCACTTATCGGAGACAGAACTCCTTCAATCTCCCACTTGTCTGAGACAAGTGCACAATATTCAAATTCCTTAAGTCAATGTGTGTCGATTTGATAATATGATTGCATCTCATGTCGTGATCATATTAGTCTACAAATCTTTTCTTGAAAAACTGAGTTAGATTCATTGAACAAATGATTACTATGTAATGCATTTGAGCACGGCCATGCATTTTCTGAATTCTCCCTCTTCAAGGGGGCAAGACACATTCCTAATTAAATAGGTAGACTCAATCCAATCTTGTGGCAACCAAGGGTCCCACTCAAATCATGAGGTGAATCATGCTCATATTGTTGCTTTGATTCGATTACTTCTCAAATTTCTTCAAGATTTTCGAATTCACTTTTCTTGAACTTTTTAAGGCTCTCGAACTTTTCAAGATTCTTATACTCCCACTTGCCTTTTTGAGGAGGCACTTTTTAGCATAGGGCGAACCAACCATGGTTTGAAACATGTTTGTTTGTTGTTTTTCTCGAACTCTGTCAAGATTTACACTACTCCCACTTGACCTTTTGGAACAATTTCCATAAGGGCTCCTACTTGAGCAACAAACATTTTGTGCTAAGTATGATTTGTGTAGTAGTACCCCGTGCTCTGTGTAGGAATTGATCGTGCATTAAACGATTTAATACAATATTTATTCCTTGCTTTGTAGAAAGACTTAATAAGAAATTTTCCTATCCATATCACATATGAAGCCTTCGCTACAATTTGATTTGACCTATGTAGTTTGTTTAGTTTTGTAGCTTATCTTAAAAGTATATCCCCTAAATAATGGTTGGAATATAGGTAATTTTATCCATTATCAAAATATATCTCATATAGATTGATAGCTCCCTTCGTAAACACTTCACAAGGTTTTCTTTCGGAGTTTGTCGTAAAACGATTTCACAACTCTTGGATGTTCATCAAGGTCTTGACTTAAATTTTCATTATTACGATCATATCGCAATATTTTGAATGTGTTTCCAAGTAAATGTCTTGACTCAAATTTTCACAATACAATCATATTGTAATGCAATTATTATCTTGTCAAGTTGATATTGAACTTCATATTGAACATTTTGAACTTTTCAAAATTTTCACTCTTATGCTTCAACTAAGCACATGTGATCATATCACAAATGAAGTTTCATTGTCCGTCTCTAGCCTTTGAACCTTTGGTTTTCTTACATCGATATGTATTCCACCTTGAGTTCTCATCATCATTTCTCTAAATGGTGAATTTGTCAATACTTTCAAATTAGAATGATATTTACATATATCAATGGATTCATAATCCAATGCTATTGAAAGTCCATCCCAGATCTTTCGCATGCAATGTTCATTTTTCATTCGAATTAATTGACATTTTAGAGACAATTTTTATATATAGAAATGGTTTAATAATTTCTATCATATAGAACTTTGAACCTATTTAGCAATCTCAAAACACATTAGGACTCAATGAAGCATAGAATAACATTTATTCCACGTTTTTTGAATCTTCGATGCTTAGTCTTTACTAACATTGAATGGTGTTTTGATAATGGAAAAATTGAATAACATTTATTTAATTCTAGCCAATTACAAGGTAAGGTGAAATATAGCTTTTACTTGTAAAGTTGCAACTTTTGCTTCTAAACTCGTAGATTCTACTTGTGAAGTAGCAACATTTGCTTCTAAACTTGCAGATTTATTTCTCCTTTAGCCATACTTCTTCATTTAGTTCAACCTCATTCTCAATAAGAGAGAACTAAACAAGACATCATATGTCCAAGAAGTAGCAATGTGCTAAATCAATTTCTATAATATACTTCTTAAATTGGAACATTTCCATTCTTTTACCTTCCAACTATATGAGGTAGTTTCTAATCAATTGGAATTGGTCCATTTAATTTGAAACATTTGCTGTTCATAACAACTTTTAGCATGTAAGCGGTTCTAGGTTTGAGAAGTAGCAACTTGTTTGCATTTCTTGGCCTGTAACTTCTTAATGCAATCCTCATATATTCCTAAACCTTTCCTATTTGAGCCACTTAGAACACTTCTCTTAGGTTCAAAATGATACTTTGCTTAACTTCTTTAAGCACTTTTCATGATTTTGCTAAGTCTATTAAATCATTATTCATATTAGAGTTTAATCAACCATTTAACTCTATATGAAATGGATGAAGAATAATGTCATTTGATCAACTTTTGATCATAGAGATTCCAATCACTTTCTTATATTCAATCATATTGAAGATAAGATATTTTATTGGACTTCTATACTTGTCTTTTAGAGAGTTTGTACCTCCCATCTCATTGTATCCCTTGAAACACTTTTCAAAATGAAGATATGTTGGCATTTTACTCAAACATTTTGAATAAAACCAACTTTAGACATGTGACATGGATTTCTAAAACTTGCCTTTTAGAACCATCTTAGCAAAATTGGAATATAGGTTTATGGATTATCTTTTAACTTTTTGAGAACGTTTCTCAACTTTATTTCCAATCGAGGAGATTATATATAAAATAAAATTAGAATGACATGTTACTTATAAGTAAACGCAAAATTCAATTATGTTTAATAAAATTTAAAGTACCATAAGCGATTATAAAACTGGTAACTTTAAAACATTCATTCAACTTTAATTGATCCCTATTGAATAGAATGATTCCAAGATCCTTTATTTGTGCAATAATTGACCGGACTGAGGCCCTACCATCAAGTATTGCATTTTCAAGGTGAGTAAACTCTTTACTGATTACAACTCTTTGTAACTCTTGGTTGAATAATTAACCATCACATGTTTAATTATTACCCTTAGCTTCAAGGTTCTAAACTCTTTAGGTAACCTTGTTGAGTATAACCAATTAAAATTGTAAAACGTGATTTACCCCCACTCCCCTAAGATATAATATGACACCCAGCTGAGGCATGACCTATCATAAATATCGAAGGTTTCATCGGGTTTTTAATTGGAAAAGCAACCTCAATATTACTGGGACCTAGCTTTATTATGTTGTGATTAAATAGTGAACTCTAGCGCATCATCACAAAACATCAATAAAATCTAACATGCATAATAAACTGAATGCATAAACAAGACATAGCATGACCCTTAATCCTAAGAAAACTAATAAAGTAAATGCTCCCACTTGAACCTTCATGGATCTCATCCATCTTGCTCTTTTGGGCCTTCACTCCATGGATTTCTTGGATTAACTGCAACCTGTAATTTTACTCTATTCTATCTACTACTTAAATAAAATGAAATAAAATTACAAAAATACTTTATCGGTACGTAGACCGTACTAAGATTACAAAAATACATCACGATGCGCAGATCGTATTTAGTAATCTACTGGGCCATACTAGTCATTATATAGCAATAAATAACATCATATATTATAAAATTGCCACATAATAAATCACTCATCATGCTTTCCTAAACTACAACATCGAATGTTCACAATTAAGGAAACATGACACCAAAATATCTCATATTTTTAATTAATGTAATTAGATAATATCATATATTATTCATGACCATCAATAAAATATCATATATTCTAAATTAGTCATGAAATAGAATCAAATCTTATTTTAATCTTAAAACATAAATCATATTTATCCTCAAAGATTATCCTAACAAAGTTATGAAATTCTATCCTAATTAATAGCCAATCACAAAATTTTAAATCAATTATATCCAAAATTAATCATGGGATAATCACATTATTTAAATAAATTATTATCCTTTTGGAATATGCTCATAATATCCTAACAAATATTATCCAAAATTAACCACTTTAATTATGGATAATTACCAATTTAACAACTTTAAATATGGATAATATCAAATATAACAACTTTTGAAAGATTTGACTTTATCCTAAAATAAAAGATTTTATCCAAATAAAACCAATTTTATCTTTTAAAATAAAAGATCATATTTTAAAAAAAAATTTATCTTATCCAAAATAAAACTGATTTTATCCCAAAATAATTCATAATTATGTTGAAATAATTTTTCAAAACAGTTTTTTTTTTTTTTTTTGAAAAGTCGCGTCAGCCACCGTGGTGTGGCCACCCAAAGCCGGCCACGGTGGCCGTACACCTTGCGGTGTACGCTGCCCCTGCAGCGACGCAAGGACAGCATCAGCAGCACACACAACGAGGTGGTGCACTGCTGCGCTGCCCCTTGACTGACCCGAGCCCAGCCCACCCTCCCTCCTGGACCCCCACCGGTGCGGCAGTCGTCGTGGCTGCGCCACCCAGCCGCGGCTGCCGCATCTCAATCCCGCTTTAATTTTTTTTGGTGATTTAATTTAAAATAAAACATTTTTATTAAAATTAAAATTAATGTGGTCGATCTAATTTTAAAATTAAATCATATTCAATTTCAAAATTAGGGTTCTTCATGAATTTAATCCCAATTTAATTCTAACTTTTAAAATTAAATTGATCATCATACATAAAACATTTTTATGCATAAATCAATCCGATTAAAATTATGAATCATAAAATAAACCGAATTAAATCAAAATCAAGCACAAAAAATCATATTTTAGGGCTAGGATTTTCGAAAAATTCGAAATTTAGGGTTAGGGGGTTTGAAAATTTCGAACATATTAGGGCTAAAACCGGTCATCTTCATGGCTATTTGAGCATAATTAAATCACATTTAACCGATTCCAAAAGTTTAATCACATTAAAATAATAATTGAACCATAATTAAATTAATCTCCCTCTTAATTGAATTAAAATTGTGGACTATCAAAGAATTATAGTTAATATGCATAAATGCAATAGGCTAACTGATACCATTGCAGGAGATTATAGGTACTACGCAGCGGAAAAACATGAATCATATTCATACACATAGCAGCATTTGCAATACAAGCAAAAGAAACAAGATCTTAAACTCTTCTTTGTCGTGTGTCTCCCAATAACCCTCCAACCTATCCATCATGCTAGAACTGATAGGAATTCTTGTAGACGTATACGTGCGGCCAAGAAACTTTCTTGACTTACCCTCCCATGATTTTCCATACTGTCCCAATATCTCGTAGGTCTTTGCACGCATTTCAGTGTTCAATGATTTCTTGGTGGGCACATGAAGTCCTCCATTTGGAATTCCAAAAACCTAATGGACTTGGTTCTTTGAAAATTTAAACTCTTTTCCATCAGTGCCTATCAATTTTCGACTTAATGGATCAACGCGGCTCAATAGCCAATAGCTAAGTTTCCTCGGAAGTTGCAAATTAGGTGGTAAATCAAGAAGGCCTCCAAATCCCATCTCCGTCACCCACTAGTTGTTCTCTCATCAAATGTTTGACATATCCTTGTAAAGGATTCAATCCGACACGTTTAATTAGGCGGCTGTCATGAATAGGGGAATCAAATCTTAGTACCATATAATATCAAAAAGTAGAATCATTAAGCTCTTACTCTACCATCAAACAATTTAACACCTCTTACCCGAGAGCTTCTCCTGTCATGTTCCTCAACACATGCCTTTGGGCCTTCACTTTACCACCAATATTCATACAATTATCCTATTAAACAGGACAACAATGAGTATCCAATAATACAAAAAGACACCATTCATAAGCCCCTCTACATAATTATTATTACCTTGAATATTGCAGGTTCAATCTAATTTTTCTTAAGCCTATAATCGCAATTGCCAACATCATCCTACATAATTCATGAATTTATTAAAACTCTAAATTTACACTTTTTGAAAATTTACATTTATCAAAGAAGGTTGTTTCTAACTCATTGTATCCAAGTCAGATACAGAATTACATGGACTTCGGTCATGCTTACTCCCCACAATATCAATCTGAAGGTCAGCCAAATGACATTAAACCAACACAATTCAATGATTGATAGAATGACATATGGCAGTGATTTTGTAATGTATGAAAAACATTATTATGAAACACAATTTAATGACACCTAACCATTAAATTCAAATGGTTGGTACCCATTTTTCAAACCAAATACCTCTTTGATTTTTCTCAATTGATTGATAAACCGGAAATATGAAAGAATATTATGAATGAATATTATTTCTTACAGTACAGAGTTGCAAATTAATTATTTGTATTTACCTCCAACAAATGATTGATAGAAAGGCAATATCAATGAATGTTATTCCTTACAGTAAACAACTAACCAAATTCCCTAACAACATGCATAATTAAGTAAAACAAACCCTAGAACATGGTTTCTATCTCAAAACTAAACCTTATTCCAACAAAAATCCACACAAGGAGTAATATTACCTGTCAAATTAAGATCTATTAGGGCCACTACCGTCTTCGTAACCGCAAATCGCCAACAACCACCGTCTTCGTAACTGCAAATCGCCTACCAGCGCCACCGCTGTCAAAGTAATCGCACTACCGTCTTAAAAACCGCAAAGCAACTTGCCCGCCACCACCGTCTTTGAAAGCGTCAATCTGAAACCGTAAATCGCCTTCCAGCCACCACAGTTTTCGTCACCACCGTCTTAAAAAAATTCGCCTTCACAATCAAAGTGTTTACCTTGGGTTACTTGTTGGTTAACAAAAGGTTGAGTTTACCCGAGTTACTTTTTGGTTAACAGAAGGTAATTAGAGTCAAATCTTCCAACATAACGACTGTTAAATTCGCCCACTTGACTTTTATACCCTTTACTCAGATACGCGAAATGACGCTAATACCCCTGGAGTTTACCCGATTTACTTTTTGGTTAACAGAAGGTAATTAGAGTCAAATCTTCCAACATAACGGCTGTTAAATCTTTCCCGCCCACTTGGCTTTTATACCCTTACTCAGATACGCAAAATTACGCGAATACCCCCGGATAAACACTTCAACTTTATCGAGGATATAAATTTGAATTTCCTCGTAGATAAGCTTGGTCTCTACTTATACTAATCGTATATTCGGAACTTGTAACTTTAAAGAGAGGTCACAGTTATCAATTTACAGAAAACTCCTTAGTATTTTTCCAATAACAAATGCATGCTCACTTTCATTATATTTCCAAATTCCAATAACGAATGCATGCATCCGCAACTTCCCAAAAACAGAAAAACAGAGTTCAAAAATATGACCAAACCTCACACTACACAATTATCTCCTGCTTTCTTCCTCTTATTAATCTTCAACCCCTTTGTTCATCGTAAAATCCCCAATTTGGTTACATAAATCATTCGCCCTAATATTTCTGATCAACAATGTCGATATACAAACTAGCTGTGATCATCAAAAACCCTTTAAACGAGGAGGAATTCCTTATAGTCAAGCAAAATAGGCCCCGTAAATTCGGAATTGAAGAGTATGATTCTTACATTGATTCTGATCTTTGGGATTTTCCTTCTATCCTATTGAAATTGATACAAGGTGAATCGGAAATTCATGTTGAAGGAGCTGAATTATGCTCTGCTAAACTTGATTTGAAGAAATTTGACCTGGGTTTGGCTTTAAACCAGGTATAATTGATCATTTTATTTTAATTATTTGCTTAAAGTATAGTTGATCATTTATATTAAAATTGTTGGTATATTTTGGAAGGTTGAATTTTGGGTGAAATTGAATGATTAATTTATATGTATGGTTTGTGTTTTTAGGTTTCAGAGCAGGTTGGAATTGAGAGGTTGAATCAAGGGCAGTGGAAGTTCTGGAAATTTGTGGAAGAACCTGAATTTGGACCAGCACCTCCGATTCATACGGTTTTTATCTCTGCATACTATAGCTTTGATGATAAAAGTAGTGATGGTTAGTCCTGACCCCCTTTTTTTTTGTTGGAATATAATAAGACCATTTTGTAGTTGGAAGTTATTCTATGCCGTGGTCCGAAATAAATCGATTTTGCGATTTGAACTTGCAATGTGACAACTAAATTTGGATGTTGAAAGTAGTAGTCACTAGTCACTGTATTGCAAAGTACTAAACAGAAGTGATCAGGATTAATAAAATCCGGATGTAGTATCGTTCATCTTCTTTATATGGTTCATTTGAAAAAAACAAAAACAAAAAAACAGTCCATGATTGCATAAATTATGGGGATATTATTAATTAATGGCCAGCTTGATATAATAATAAATCATTTTTGCTATATCTGGAGCTCTTATAACCTTCTTATATTGTAACTCCATATGCAGTGGCATGCCAGTGGATTTCCTGGTCTAATTGCTCAAAATGGCTCTCTGAGGTAACACCGGACAGTTATCGTATGGGGCCATTGGTGGTTAATGGTTTTCCACATGACTCTAAATACTCTAAGTGGGATGTACCGCGTTATTTGAATTACCAGGTTGAATCTATTTTATACTAGAATTTATTTTGCTGTTTATTTGTTTTGATGCAGCAGTTATGTTTTTAGCTATGCTTTCTTTTCTTGAGGGATACAGCTACAAAGAGAGAAGCAACTCATGCACATATTTGATCATTTTGTCTGAATTTGCGTTGGCTCTTTAAACCATCAACTCTCTTATTGTGGCTGATTTCAATTGATGTTGTAAACCTGTAGAAATCATTCTCTGATGAGGTTTTGTCAATTACTTTGTCTCTTGTACAGGAATATCCGCTGGGTGTTAGACTTGTACCGATGAGAAGTAGAACTGGCAGGCCTTTCTCCACTACGAACTTGGTAGTCATTGCGCCACAGATTGTTGCCAATAGTGAAAGCGATAAAAATGTTATTGCTCATGGAGATGCACTAATAATAGATCCAAGATGCAGAGTTCAGTCCCATCAGGAGGTATACTTTTAGACAACTTAATTCTGAAAGAACTCAGTTCACTGCACATGCCAAAATGGTATTTTACTTGTACATATATAGCATAAAATGAAGCCCACTCTTTTCAAGTGTGTGGAACTTTATACCAACTGTGTCATATGTATGTATGTGTACTACATGAATTTTGAGAGTTGGGGGATAATTTTCATAAGCTTAAATATTCTATATTGCTATGAGAGTTTAATTTTTAGAATCCTAATAACCATAGTTTTTGGTTAGAGGTAGTGTTCATAAGCTCAGGAATAATCGACATTTGTAGGGATGTCAGGTGCTTGTCTGCTTGGTAGGAAAGTTCACGTTACTTTCTTCAGTTGTAGATATCTTCTCTGAAAATGACTGAATGCTGTCACTAGTGGCATATATGGTTTTTCTGTTTGTATCTTTGCAGTGTACTCATCATTTAAGAAATTGAAGTAATTACAATCTTAAGGTGATGGAATTGGTGAAAGACGTGATGCATTTATATTTTTAATTAAACTAAAGACCATGCAGGGTAGTTCTTTCCATAAATGGAAATCATTCATCAACACCACCAGTGGAAGATAATTAGAAATTATCATAGTAAATAAGGAAAACTATTATTAAGTTTCAGGGAAGATCCAATATGTTAATTCTCTCAACAGATTCTGTTTATGGGGGCAGTGAGGGAGTTTGTTTGTTTGTTTGTTTGTTTTTTTTTTTTTTTTTTTTTTTTTTTTTTTTTTTAAATAAATAAATAAATAAACCCCAATACTGGCCACTAGGCTACTTTGATTGCTTCTCATCAATTGCAAGGCTTTGCAGATAAGCTTACTAGAAGAGGTTTATGAGATATATCATGCCTCTCTATTGCTTCACAGTTTTAAGGGGTAGCTATTTCCCCAACCATGTATTGTTGGTTGATCTCTATCTGTTTCTCTTCCTATTAGAAGATGAGATATCAAAGTTTTTGTCACATCTCACCCTCCCACAAATAAAAAAGGGTACATGTACTATGGCAGCATGGCTTGTATTAGTTGTATGGTCTCATAGGATGTCAAATATCTTATTTATTCATGAAGTTATTGACTTCATTTTTTGTCTAAATTTTCACATCAAGGATCTTCCTTACTATTATCGGCAATGGTTGAAACTCTAGGTGTTAATAATTAGATGTGGAACTTTATTACTTTGAATATACACATCTAAGTTGTCAAAATATTACCATGACAAGAATAATGTACTTAGTATTTTTGTTTCCTACTGTCATATTATACTCAGATATGTCTCATTGTTTTATCAGCTTGCGGATATTATTGCAGCTTTACCAAGAAAGTTGATCGTGTTTGTTACACATCATCATGCTGATCATGTGGATGGTAAGTCATTTTCAATGTTTTTCATAATTTTTTTTTTCCAGTAATGTTGGTTCTTATTGGAGAAAATTATTTTTAGTTGCCTTACATGGCCAAAGTTGATGAAACTCATGATTCATGAAAGTGCTACTGCATGTGGCCTAAATTATTGATTGCTTGAGATATAAATATATAATGTTGATCCATTATCAAAACCTGTTATGTTTCCTGTTCCTTGGCCTTGTTTGTTGTCTTCACTGAGCTGAGAGCATAATAATGTTGGTGCAGTGGCCATTATTGCTACTCCCCTTAGCAGTTTTCTTGGCTAGCATATGAGTCACTTAAGTTAACTAATTCATTGTGTGATCTGAATGTGCTATAGTAGCAATTGATTTGTTTTTATGCCAGGATGTTCATTCTGGCACCTCTTTTTGTGAATCGTGCATGCTTTTTATACTGTTGTTCTGTGGTCTATTTTCTCCTGTCAGAGGTTTTTTCCAGTGAACTTTTAATGTCATTATCTCATTGCGGACAAGGCTTGTTGAGGTTCAAATGTGTTTCAATATACCTCTAAGTCTGTGTCCAACATGTCTGTAGCAAAGCATTTCCTGAAAGCTGCAATGCTCTGCAAATCACGTCTCTCGTATTTGACTTACTGCTTTTGTTGATTTGTTCAGGTTTGTCAGCTGTTCAAAAATGCAACCCTGATGCAATTTTATTGGCTCACAAAAGCACAATGCATCGTATTGTAAAAGGTATTCTTGTATACCCAAGTCGAGGTTTCATAAATTATTGAAGATGTATTATAGTTGTATCAAGCCTGAACAGGTCTACTATCTCCAGTTTGATTGTGGCTAAGACCGAATTTGGATCTGGCATTGATGACGAGGGACTTTATGATGTTTCTTGAAGTTATACGAGGGTAGATTTTAAGCTTGGTTTTCAGAAGGTATATGACAGGGAAACCTACAGTTCTAGGATAAGGCGAGGCGATAGGGTGCTAAGGGTTTGAATTAGGTGGAGGAAGTGGATCTAGGGCATTGTTTAAAAAAGGCTTACAGTGCACAAGCGTGAAGTGCGCGCATCATCAAAGTCTAGCACATTTCTTAAAAAAATAATAAAAAAATCTGAGTGTAAAAACAGTTGCAGACATGAAGTTAATGCTAACACTACACGGCTTTGTGCTTATGTGTTCATCGAATTTATATCACCTGGGCCTTTCTAAGATTTTGTGTAGCAGCACCTTGGACGTCAGCACAACTTTTCCAAATAATGATCTAGAGGAGTTTATTGTAAGCTGCTTATTTTGGTAAGCCTGGAGGAGGTTACTAGGTTATAGCAGTGGGGCCACAGGGGGTTTGTAGTAAGCTGCTCTTCTCTTCAGAGATTTACGGTGAAAAAGTTTCTGTTTCTCATTCACAATTGATAGTATCTTGTGTGTCTATGCTTATCATGCTGGCTGTAAGAATGTGCTTAATGCAGTCCAGGTGTATGTATCTGGTAGTTTCTGGCTTTTAGATCATTATAGAAAAGTACTTAGAGGGATTGTTTTGGACCTGTTTTCTCTTGCTCCTTGTGACATCATTTCAGAGCTTAGCTGTAATGACAGGTCTATTCCATGAAGGGATTAGGAAAAAAATCTTGCTTTGTACTGTCTTTTCATTGTTCTCCGAACATGACTCCTATTAAGTAGCCAAGAATCCGAATTGACTTTGTGATTTTGTGCCTCCGGAGTCCAGATGTACCATAATAAAAGGGGACTGACTTCTGCACTCTTTCACTTCAAATAGGTGGGACCAAAAGAAGTAGCAAGCTCACAATATGTTGATAGGAGGCATACTGTCGACCTGTCTCACCATTCTTAAAACACATAAAATGTATCAAGAGAAACATACATATTCTTAGTCTGCATAGGAGACTGTCTGTGAGCTATATAAGGCATCATGGAGTGCAAGACCTTTCAATTCCTACGTTAACAATACATTAGCATTGTTATACGAGGTACACTGACTATTACATAGGGCTTCCACATTTTGGGTTTTGGACTTTTGGGTTGGTACATTTTTGTAGGTTTTTACACCCTTACAGCTCTTCATCATAATAGTGTTGTTTTCTAGAATCAAGATCAAGCCCATATAAAGTGAAGAATATATATATATTAATGAATGAGCTTATTGGTTAGTGTTTTATAAATCATGTAATCCAAATTTAAGACAAGTGTATGTTTGAAGTAGATAAAACAAATGATTAGTGTTAAGAACTTCTAAGTAATAATAGTGTAATACAATATGCTGGACCATCAGAAATCCATTCACTAAATTTTGGTCTTGCCAGCTCACATAGCTCTCTGAAAGTTGTTTATGATACCGAAAATTAGTAAGTTATTATCTCATAGAGGTGCATCTATATTTAGGGTCTCATCAATAACTACTTTCATGGAGATCAATTTTTTTATAACAACTTTGTTTTACTGCAGATGACTGGTCTCTTGGGTATACATCAGTTGTAGGAGGGGAAGAAATTATTGTTGGGGACCAGCGACTCCAAGTCATTTCTGCCCCGGTATTGTATCGGCTAACTTACACATCCTTACATTATTGGATTTTTTGTTCAAGATAATAGTTAGTTTCTTTTAATCAAATATCTCTCACCAGTACCTAAGTGTCACTAAAGGAGAAATTCATGGACACTCCTTGAATCCTTTTATCTATTACTCAGGCTTATTTTTGGTATACTCTTAGTAACCTGTGTGGCTGGCCTCCTGGATCTGATCCTTCACAGTTCCATAATAGATAACCTACAAATTGTCTTATGCATTACAGTTTTATTGGACTTTGTAATGGGCTTAAACTTCAAAACTTCATTATTCGAATAAATTATAGGCTTATGACTCTCTTCTACTCAATGAGACTCATGGAATGAGAAATTTATGTAGAACAATTAAATTTACCCATAGGTGTGTGAAAATAATAATGTGTATGATTTATTGGACACAATTTATTTGATGTTATGCTATCTGTATTTTTTGTACTATATTTGTTTACCCTCATTCTTCTAGTCCTTATGGAGGTTTGATAGTTTTAAGTCTTTCAATAACAGGGCCACACGGATGGTCATATGGCATTGCTCTATATCAATACTCATACACTGATTGTTGGTGATCACTGTGTTGGGTAAGGTCCTCTTAAAGTAGAAACATATAGAAATATTTCTCTATGATATCTTACATATAGGTACTAAGCAGAGCTAAAAAATTTCTGTGTAAATCTTTGCTATTCAATTCAATTTCATTTTTGATGACGAAATTTATGTGCTAAAATATTCATATCTTGGTACTCTGTACTTTGTAGTCACATGTGCAATGTTTTCCTTGGAATTTAGAGACTGTATTCACAAGATCTCTGTTCTAAAATTGTTGGACGGGAATATGCTTCTGTTACATTTTTACTTGAGTCACAGCACTTGCTTCTGGAAAATCCTCCAGCTTATACATTCGTAGTTTCTTTGATTAGTTTGTGGAAACGTGTTTTGATAGTACATGAAAAAAGAAAGATTTTTCTCAAATTTTCTGATCATAGGTGCATCTTGTTATATTCTGTTATTATGCTTGAACCATTGATGTATTAACAGATTTATTGGTTAACTGATGTTGCAGGCAAGGTAGTGCGGTTCTAGATGCTTTTTCTGGTGGAAATATGGGAGTAAGCTGATTGTGTATTTTTACCCATTTATTATTTTTTTAAGATCATTTTATGTTATCCACACCATCTTATTATTTTTGCTGAGTATTCTGCCCATTTATATAGACCCTGAAACAAATGCCCCCATTATAATTTTGAATGAAATAAAGATAATTGGAAAAAAATTATCAGGCTTGAACTCAACTAGCAGGAACTAATTATGGGAGTAGCTAATTTTGTCTTTTTTCCATGCTTCCCTACATTGAATTGCAGGAAGAGATTGTTCATCTTGAAAGGCTATAGCCGCTAGACTTTGATCTAATCACCTCACCAGTCTTACTTTTCTTGCAGGAATATTTAAATACGACATTCAAATTCTTGGAGCTTTCTCCAAATGCTTTGATTCCTATGCACGGAAGAGTCAATTTGTGGCCAAAACACATGCTTTGTCGATATCTCAAGTATGAACTGCATTTAATGATTCTCTTCTTTCTCTGTTTCACATATAAAGCATTTACCATATGTTTTGCCAGAAGAGCTATTGCCGTGGCAATTTTATGTGGGTAATTTTCTTTGCCATGGCTTGTTCATAGTTGTTTGTGATTTTCTATATATCCAGCCTCATATGTCTTGTATAGTTTATATTCTCAGATCACAGCAGCTTGTGGATGTAATATTGTGGTAAATAACTGCAACTGTAGTCAGAAAATATGTTACAATGCATAGTCTGGTTTCATGCAGGAATCGCAGAGATAGAGAATCTTCAATCTTGAATGCCATAGAAAATGGCAGTACTACTTTATTTGACATAGTTTCCACTCTATACAAAGACATCGATCGTGCCCTGTGGTATATTTCTGCATCTAACGTGAGGCTCCATGTTGAGCATTTAGCTCAACAACACAAGTTACCTGAGGTAATGTCCACAGTGCTATTTACCGCTGTCAATGCCAATCCAATGTCCATTTGTGTATTCATATTAATTCATTCTCATCATATAGATATAGCCCTAGAATGCATCTTGTCAATAGTTGGTTTGCATTTGTATATCAAAGCAACACTACCCACTCCAGTGAGGTTTTTGCCAAGATTGGGCCTGCTATTGGATGATGTAAGATTTATGAGCTAGAGCAACCCCAGAATTATGGCAATAAATCCATGCCATGGATTGTTGAATTCATTTTAAGGTCAGGTATTACTTATTTCATGCTATGAGGCACTAACCAATACCAAATTCACACATCACTCTTTTTACTTCGACAGGTTAAAAAAATTGAAACTATTTTGAGAAGGGTCACCCATTAGTTGGGATTATTCTAGATTAAACTATAGATGGAATTAAAATGGGAAGGATGTCAAAAGTTGGGATTATTCTTGTTAATTGTTCCAAAAAAAGAAATCTAAAATAATTGTAGTACGTAGTAGATGTTAATTGTTACTTCACTTTCTGTCTTTATGTAAGGAGCAGAAAAGCTTGCCAATGATTATCTCTTCAATCATGATAATTATATTATCATAAGATCTGTAGGTAATTTGGTCAGTATTTTTAAGAATAACATGTGTATCTTACTAATAAAGATTATAATCTGAAAGAAAATTTGTTTGAGGACTGCAGGCCTTTTCTTTAGAAACTCACAGTGTTGCTGCATTTGGTGACGAGTTGAGCAAGTTATAATTAAGAGATGCTGTTTTCTAGGCTCATTGACCTCTTTAGGTTAGAAGCACTGCTCTAACACTTGCTGAATTGTTATGTCTGTATTAAAGGGTAACTATTTGCACACTGTTTCGTCATATATGATAAATCTGATATTGTAGGCGTAAATTGCTTATTTAGATTCTGCTTTCTCTAAGACGAAAAGTTTCATAATTATTTTTAGTGCAATTTTCTTCCTTTGATTATCCAGAGTTGTACAATTAATTTGGTTTCCTTGTTTCTGCTAGGGCATGTCCTTGTCAAAACTTCAACGGACTTATGGATTACATTTTGCACTCAATTGGATCTGGGCATATGCATGCAATTGGATTTCATCAAAGATTATGAAGATTAGAAGACCTAAACTCATTGTTTCAGTAGTTATTGCTTGCTTTGCTGCATTGTATATTTATATTGTGTGATAATCATGCCTACTTTATATCTATCGTTAGTTTTAAATGTTTAATTCTGTCTTGACTGTGGAAACTTGGTGAAATAATTATCTGGTTGATGACATGCTTAATCAAGCAATATAACTATACTATGTTTGCTGTTGTAATCTGATCATCTCTAGGCTACACCTCATGTTTCGGTTCATCTTGTGTAAATTTGGCTGATGAGCGATATCATGTTCAGTTCAGTTTGGTTTTGTTTGGTTTGTTTATCTCAGTGATGATGCACCTCATTCCTCCATTTTTGTTCAGTTTACAACATTTTTCACAATAACTAATTTACGAATGCTTTCAAACTAGATAAAATTTGTCACACATAAAGTTATATATATATATATATATATATATATATATATATATATATATATATATATATATATATATATATATATATATATATATATATATATATATATATATATATATATATATATATATATATATATATATATATATATATATACACACACACACACACACACATATATAGGGGAAGACTCTCGTGAGAATTTTTCTTATATGAGAATTTTTCTTATGTGAGAACACTCTTTATGTTCTAAATTTTTACTCATATGTTCTAAATTTTAAATCTGATGTTCTAAACTTTTTTTTAGGTGTCCTAAATTAAATCAAATGTTCTAATTTATTACTCACATATTCTAAACCATAAATTAGTTAAGCTTGATGTCATAAATTTTAAATAACTTGTTCCAAACTTTTAACTTTTATGTTCTAAATTTTAAAACGTGTGTTCTAAGATTTTTAATTATATGTTCCAGATTTTCTAAGATTTTTTAATTATATGTTCCAGATTTTAAAGCGTATGTTCTATTTTTTTTACTCGTATGTTCTAAATTCTTTACTCACACTTTCTATATTCAATATCAGTTTGTTCTAAATTTTTATTCACATGTTCATAATCTTAAATCAAGTGTTCTAAATGTTACTCATATGTTTAAAATTTCATAAAGCAAATTTTATAAATTTTTAATCACTTGTTCTAATTCTTAAATCAGATGTTCTAACATATTACTCACACAAATGTTCTAAATTATTACTCATATGTTCAAAATTTTAATTTGAGTCACATGTTCTAAATTTTAACTCGTATGTTCTAAATTTTTACCCACATGTTCTAAATTTTAACTCAGTTCTCATATAAGTATGAATTCTCACATATGGATCTATTCTCACCGGATCCCTCCCATATGAGCAAAACAGTGGATCCAAAATACGTGTATAAAAAAAATGTTCAAAACAGAAAGTGTTTCGTGGTTAGTATAACCATAACCCATATTAAAAAAAGAACAAAAAATGAAAATTATCTGTTGTTGAGTCGTCAGACACAGAAATACACACGAGAAAGGTTCTCTAATTGCTTCTCCCTGTGTTTTTTCACATTATTTTTAATGTGTGCTTTATCAGTTTTTGTTCATTGTCTGAAATTAATGTGGCTTATAATGTGATATTAATCACTTTTCTACTGCATTTTGGCACCTTTCATGCATGTCTATCTTGTTCTAAAAACGTGTATAGTCTTGCTAGTAATCTCTTTTCCCTCCTCTTCCCTCCTAAAAGTCTAAAACTACCCGAAAAACAAACTTTGTTCTTAAGAGGATAATGGAGCAACAAAAGGTTGATGTTTATGTGAAAGGCTCATGGCTAAGAAAAATGGTGAAGGAAAGCAGCTCTCAGTTTGCAGCAATTCAAGTTACCACCACCATAATCATCACTGTTACGATTGCATTCTTTGTTATAGTCCTTGGGATCTTTGTCAATGGTCGCATCAGGAATTTCCTTGTTTGTTTCTGAAGACTTCATACCAGTACAAAGCACGCCAGCTTCTGGCATCGAATTGTCAGGTAACGGATTCAGAGACTTTGGTGATTGGATAGCTCCGAGGGGGTTATGGCACACAATGTCTGATCAGGAGCTCTTGTGGCGTGCTTCTATGGTACCTCATATTAAGGATTATCCTTATAATAGGACACCTAAGGTAGCGTTTATGTTCTTGACCAGGAAGACGTTGCCACTAGCACCATTGTGGGAGTTGTTCTTCAAGGGACATCAAGGCCTCTACTCAATTTACCTCCACACATCATCTGAGTCCATTGAGGAGCATGTTGAACCATCCGTGTTCTACCAGCGTAGAATACCTAGCAAGGTCTATATTTTTTGCACCTAATTAGTTCTTTTATTTGATGCACGTCTCATTGCTAGGTTATGGTTCGTAGGATTTTGTTTCCCTTTCGTAGTATGTTTAAGACCACCCAGGGTTTAAAAACATTCCTTTTCGTATTTCGTTTTTAGCTATTACTAGCTAGCAGATAACATATGAATATATGATAATCATGTACGGAGTAAAGATAACAAAATCATCAAACGTCACATTAATGATCTGTTGTTGATTATGGGCGAAGAGGTATGGAATTTGTGTTTAAAAAAACAAAAAGAAGAATTAAAGTCCTCTAGTTCCTGTTTTTCATTCTTTTTCACTTTTTTTTTCTGTTGTTATAGACATCACAAAAGGCAATCATGTCCAAACATAAAACTTGCATTTTGCTTCCTTCAAGCAATACTTGTATCATATACTACACGTTATTGGCATGTAACAAACTAACAATATCTTATGCGGTTTGGTGCTCGCAGCCAGTGGAATGGGGAAGGGCAACCATGGTAGATGCAGAAAGAAGATTACTAGCTAATGCCCTACTTGACTTTCTGTAATGAAAGATTTATATTACTGTCTGAATCCTGCATTCCTCTATTCAACTTCAGTACTATTTACGACTACCTCATCAAGTCGAAGCACAGCTTTGTAGGATCATTTGATGACCCTAGAAAAGTAGGACGAGGTAGGTACAACAAGCGTATGGCACCTGCAATACAGTTATCAGATTGGAGAAAAGGAAATCAGTGGTTTGAACTTAATCGAGACCTTGGCATTGCAGTAGTATCAGATGAGGCATTCTACCCTGTTTTTCGAGATCATTGCAGGCCTCCATGTTACATAGATGAGCACTACTTAGCTACCCTTGTGGTTAAAATTGGTAAGGACTCGAATTCTAACAGAAGTATTACTTGGGTTGATTGGAGTAAGCCTGGTTCTCATCCCACGACGTTTGTTAGAAAGGATGTTTCTGAGAGGTTCTTGAGTCGAGTTAGAGATCAATCTGATTGTATATATAACAATGTGCCAGGCTCGTACTGTTTCCTTTTTGCAAGAAAATTTCATCCTAATACACTTGAGCCGTTGCTTAAAATAGCACCTGTTTTATTTGGGTTTAAACAATAAAATTGTAACTAGAATGGTCTTCTCACCTGTCTTTCACTCTTTGCCTTTGAGATTTTTGTCTTATGGGGCACTCTAAATATGACAAATACAAGAATGATGTTCATAAGCTAAAATGCAAAGTTGAGGAATATATGAATATTGCAACTTGTTTGTATTGTGATATAAGGAAACTAGGGATGTTGATGGGGCGGGGCAGGACAAGGCGGATGTTGGCCTTCATATCCCTATCCCCATCCCAGCCTAACATTTTCATCCCCATCCCTATACCCGGTTCCCCATAGTGGGTCCAAAATTCATTCCATCTCCGCCCTATCGGGTACAATTCTAAAATCATCTCCGTCTCACTCCTCACTTGGATATCCACCCCCACTTAATCCCCACCCAAAATCCGTCTAGTCCTTGTCTTTTAGATACAACAATACTACATAACATAGATTACAATAAATAAAAAAAATCATTGTTAATATTACATTTTTTTGTTTATAATATAAGGCTATTACAAAGTATTGTTTTACTACTTTCATAGATTAGACCCTTGCTATTGAAAATTTTACAGTAGTCATTTGAAATATGACTATTATAATGGTTTAATGATTATATCGTCCATAAGTGACATATTTTTTTTCAAGTAATTAATTATACTTTATTAACGGTATCAAATAGTATCATCTGTTATAAAATAAGAAGAAATATGAGAGACAGAGAGAATTAATCTGTATATTTTTATTCCATATGATAAGGTACATATATACATTTAATATTAATTAGGGTTTGGTTAGATAAAAATATAAACCCTAAATCTAGATTGTTTTAGAACAGTGCGTTTCGGGTGTGGCTGGTCGCACCATGAGGCAGGGTGCCACATCAGCAAATGACAAAGTAACTCCACCAACCTAGTAACCCCTGACCCATCTGGTAACCTCACCAACCTAGTAACCCCTGACCCACCTGGTAACCCCTGATCGGACCATGTAACCCTTGACCGGATCAAGTAACCCCTACCCGGATCAAGTAACCCCTACCCGGACCTAGTAACCCCGGACAAAGTAACCCCTGACCGGATCAAGTAACCCCTGACCGGACCTAGTAACCCCCTTAGTAACCCCTAACCAAGTAAGTAACCCCTAATCCTACACCACCTCAAAGCCTTAAACTCCACCACACCTTAATAAGTTGTACTATGCTTCTCAATAAGTTCTTAAATCCTTTATAAGAAGCAATTATCAAAGTTCTAATTTTGTTTCAGAAATGTTTAACCATGATTAAAGCACAGAACTTTGGTTTTTTTTTTTTCAGCAAAAATGTACAAGAAAAACTCCCAATTTATTCGTTACTTCTGTAGATTCACACCAAATCCGATCCAAAAACCCACTCTAACCACCTTACCACCACGCCACCACCAACCACGCCCAGCTACCCACACCTAGAACCCACCCTAACCACTAGCAATCACGCTGCCAGCAACTCCGCTGCCACAAACAAACCAAATCCAACCCAAGCACAACCAAACCGAAAAAACAAAAAGAAATTAAATCTAACAAATACCTTAATTATTAACAATGGCTTCAAATTTCACTTCAAATAGGCTAAAAAGGCCAAATTCGACCTTAAAAACACTAGATCTAGAGTTTTATGGCTGAATTTGGCCTTAAAAACCCTAAGTTGTTTTTCGGCAACGGAGTACGAGGAGCTTCACGACGACCACAAACTAGGTTGGAGCTTCACGACGACGATCTGGTTGGAGCTTAAATAAAGGCAGTGCATCAAGGAAGTGAAAATGGAGGAGAGGAAAGAGAGGGGAGAAGAGAG